TCGGCTGTTGGATTGATGCTTCGATACAAAACGATTATTATTTACACCCCTAGCTTATATTAGTGATATTTCATCGTTTGCAGAACATTAGGTGAAAAAAGGCATGTTGCTTATTCTCTGCATCAAGCCAGGTCACAACATTCTCCTTTGATGCAGAGCCGGACACAGCGAAAAAAATCGCGAAATGAGTCAGCTGACTTTAAAAAAGGTGATGATGCGGTCTGCTCATGATCTCTTTGTCATCAGATACCCGAGCCACATATGAACCGTGCCGAGCCCTACTGTTGAATTGGTACTAGTTTACCGCAGTTTGGTTGTGTTTGTATGGTCCAGTTCAGTTGCGTTCCATTTACATTCAACAGTTAACTCGGTTACCGGATTCTAAGGACGGATTCAAAAAGGTAGTGTAAATGGGGTATATGTTTCGCTTTATTTAAAAAAAAAAGAAAAAGTTGGTGCTAAAATAAAAATGTAGCTGACCTGAAAGCAAAAATTGTCTCTTTGTGTTGTAAAGATTTCAGACTCTGTTTATTGGTTCAGCAATATTGCAATTTTAAGACAAATCCATGCAAACCCTGAAGAAGCTTTCTTGTTCCTCTGATGTTTGGGAGGGGTCTTCAGAGGTACTGGTTCCCTACTGGGCCTCAATCTGCACAGTGCCAAGTTAAGACATCATGTGGTGGTGAGCTGGTCTCTGCCACCCTTAACACCCTCTGTTGGAATCTCACAGCTCTCTGTGACCATCCTGGAGTCCTGCTCTCGTTTACCGCTTCATTGCTTCCACTCTGCACGTTAACGTTGTCTCATAAACTTTCAGATTTTCTTTTCCTATTGGCTGCTTCAAAGAAGAGCTTGAATAAAGCCCTTCTGTTTGAGTTGGTGTTGTATCTTGCGTGATGGTCTTTGGTTGTGTAGCAGCTTCAGGACCTGGACAACCTCAGGTCATTATTTTAACATTAAATGCTTGAGAAAAGCTAAATAAACTTAGATCTAGTTGAGATGCATGAATTTAAAGCGGCTATTTACACCTGAAAAGCATCAAATCTGGCTTTATTATTAAAATTCTGCAAGGAAGAGTGGGCTGAATGTGCACAGAAACGACGGATGAAAGTGGCAAAATTAGCTTTAAAAGTGAATTGCTTGTCAAGTTGGGCCAGATTGGTGTGGCTGTTTCTCTCGCTTAAAAAGTTTTATTTTTGTTTACGATCTAATGAGCCAGGAGTCTGAGAAAGTGATGAGAGCAGCGGGTCTGCAGGCCTTCACGACGCCTGCAGCCAAAATGAGTTTACACCAACACCGTCACACAAACAAGCTCCCACGCAGAACACCCCGACTCTGTGGACGGACACATTATTGTGGTCCTGTTTGTTGCCATGACAAAGGCACAACATCTCTGGGTGGGCTGTCTTGTTTTTGTGTTTCAGGACACTAAAAAGACTTTCCCTGTCAACATATAAATATATATTTCTATTTCTGCTCAGGGGTTTTTGCTTTCCAGGAATCCAGGGACTTTACTCCTAATTCTTAACTTGCACAAAGAGAACGTCTCAGCTGCCTGTGTTGTTTCTCCTCGCGTCTATTTCTGCCATCTTTTCCGTACAGAATACCGCGGGCTAAATTGAGCAGAGGGAATGTGGTAACAAGATGCTGATGGCCGAACGCAGAGAGGGAACATTCCACGACTGGGTTCCTGATGTTGCCGTCTCAGATGGCAAATATTTTTCAGAGACAAAATAGGCGGACATACCTTTATTTTTTTTTTCCAGTGAGGATTGAGGTTCTCCCTGAAGTGTGTTTGCTGATGACACACAAATGTCAGATTTGCATGTTTGCTGGGGACAGGAATCTGTTGCAAATAGTTCTGGGAGAAAGGATGGAGGTGTCCACCATCCACACAGCCTGGAGTTTATGGCAGTCCTAGCTGGTGCAGGTGCGCCACTTTTTCTTAGTGGTGAGATTTCTATGACGAACAGACCATCATCTTTCTTTCTACCTATCTCTCATCTCTTCTTCTCTCTTTCTGACTTTTTCCTTCCTTCCTTCCTTCCTTCCTTGCTTCTTGGTTTCCTTCCTTCCTTGCTTCCTTCCTGGCTTTCTTCCTTGCTTGCTTCCTTCCTTCCTGGCTTTCTTCCTTGCTTGCTTCCTTCCTTCCTTGCTTCCGTCCTTGCTTTCTTCCTTTCTTCCTTCCTTGCTTCCTTCCTGGCTTTCTTCCTTCCTTGCTTCCTTCCTGGCTTTCTTCCTTCCTTGCTTTCTTCCTTCCTTCCTTGCTTCTGCCCTTGCTTTCTTCCTTCCTTCCTGGCTTCCTTCCTTCCTTCCTTCCTTCCTTGCTTCCTTCCTGGCTTTCTTCCTTCCTTGCTTCCTTCCTTCCTTGCTTTCTTCCTTCCTTTCTTCCTTCCACTGTCTATCTCCAATGTTTGTTTGTTTGTTCCTTTGTTTCTCCTCGCTTCTTCGCTTCCTTCCTTCCTTCCTTCCTTCCTTCCTTCCTTGCTTCCTTCCTTCCTTGCTTTCTTCCTTCCTTTCTTCCTTCCACTGTCTATCTCCAATGTTTGTTTGTTTGTTCCTTTGTTTCTCCTCGCTTCTTCGCTTCCTTCCTTCCTTCCTTCCTTCCTTCCTTCCTTCCTTCCTTCCTTCCTTCCTTCCTTCCTTCCTTCCTTCCTTCCTTCCTTCCTTCCTTCCTTCCTTCCTTCCTTCCTTCCTTCCTTCCTTCCTTCCTTCCTTCCTTCCTTCCTTCCACTGTCTATCTCCTTCCTTCCTTCCTGGCTTTCTTCCTTCCTTGCTTTCTTCCTTCCTTCCTTGCTTTCTTCCTTCCTTGCTTTCTTCCTTCCTTGCTTACTTCCTGGCTTTCTTCCTTCCTTGCTTTCTTCCTTCCTTCCTTGCTTTCTTCCTTCCTTGCTTTCTTCCTTCCTTCCTTGCTTTCTTCCTTCCTTGCTTACTTCCTGGCTTTCTTCCTTCCTTGCTTTCTTCCTTCCTTCCTTGCTTTCTTCCTTCCTTGCTTTCTTCCTTCCTTGCTTCCTTCCTGGCTTTCTTCCTTCCTTCCTTGCTTTCTTCCTTCCTGGCTTTCTTCCTTCCTTGCTTTCTTCCTTCCTTGCTTTCTTCCTTCCTGGCTTTCTTCCTTCCTTGCTTCCTTCCTTCCTTGCTTTCTTCCTTCCTGGCTTTCTTCCTTCCTTGCTTCCTTCCTGGCTTTCTTTCTTCCTTGCTTCCTTCCTGGCTTTCTTTCTTCCTTCCTTCCTTCCTTCCTTCCTTCCTTCCTTCCTTCCTTCCTTCCTTCCTTCCTTCCTTCCTTCCTTCCTTCCTTCCTTCCTTCCTTCCTTCCTTCCTTCCTTCCTTCCTTCCTTCCTTCCTTCCTTCCACTGTCTATCTCCTTCCTTCCTTCCTGGCTTTCTTCCTTCCTTGCTTTCTTCCTTCCTTGCTTCCTTCCTTGCTTTCTTCCTTCCTTGCTTACTTCCTGGCTTTCTTCCTTCCTTGCTTTCTTCCTTCCTTCCTTGCTTTCTTCCTTCCTTGCTTTCTTCCTTCCTTGCTTACTTCCTGGCTTTCTTCCTTCCTTGCTTTCTTCCTTCCTTCCTTGCTTTCTTCCTTCCTTGCTTTCTTCCTTCCTTGCTTCCTTCCTGGCTTTCTTCCTTCCTTCCTTGCTTTCTTCCTTCCTGGCTTTCTTCCTTCCTTGCTTTCTTCCTTCCTTGCTTTCTTCCTTCCTTGCTTTCTTCCTTCCTGGCTTTCTTCCTTCCTTGCTTCCTTCCTTCCTTGCTTTCTTCCTTCCTGGCTTTCTTCCTTCCTTGCTTCCTTCCTGGCTTTCTTTCTTCCTTCCTTCCTTCCTTCCTTCCTTCCTTCCTTCCTTCCTTCCTTCCTTCCTTCCTTCCTTCCTTCCTTCCTTCCTTCCTTCCTTCCTTCCTTCCTTCCTTCCTTCCTTCCTTCCTTCCTTCCTTCCTTCCTTCCTTCCTTCCTTCCTTCCTTCCTTCCTTCCCTGTCCTGTCCTGTCCTGTCAGGATTAACTGTTTATGAAGCAAAAATGTCATTAAAAACATTATTTTTCAGCTTTATTCTAGTTTTATAGCCAATCAAATGCAGTCACTGTGCTAAAAAATAAATGCAAAAACATCTTATTTTATAACAAACAAGAAATACCATCACATCCCATCATGAATGAAATTTCATTTTGTTTTCACTCTGTGTATACAAAATGACAATAAAAGTTGTCTAAGTCTAACATCTACATATTCATATTGAAACTCTCCTATCAAACTACAGACATCAAAATAGTACAGATTATTTTTCAATATTTTCAGATGTGTAGACTTTTAAATTAATTATTTAAGTAATTAAAAACACCTTGAATTCCATAATTGAAGTTATTTAAAATTTTCCAAATTCTTTAACATATTAGATTATAGAATATAACTACATAGGTATTATGTCTAGTAACAAGTTACTTTAGTTAATTAAGTGAAGTTAGTGACTTTTTTGGAGAAGTAACTAGTAACTATAACCAGTTACTTTTTAATTAAGTTGCCGATTGCTGCTAACTGCTTACATGTCAAAGTTTACAATGAGAAACAGCCATCGAATCAGCAGCCGGCGTTCAGAGGAATCTGGCTAAGTTGTACATTTGTAGCTTTACATTTTTATTGAAATCTTCTTTATCTAGAGTTGATTTCCTGTCTTTCTTCTTGAAGCTGAAGCTCTCTCCTACCTGATTTTTTTTCTAATCTAGAACTTTTGAAGCGTCTTAAAATGTTGCCTCCTGTTTCTTTCTGCCGTTTGTTCTCATGATTTATTGATCGACCTCTGCACGTGTGAGTGCAGCAGCACGCGTGTGGCCAAGCGAAGGTCTGAAACTTTTAAAGGCTGTCTGCAAAGGAGGAGGAGAATGAGAGAGGAAGATGAGGGAGGCAGGAAAACTTCAATCCAGGCTGCCTGGTGTGAGTCAGGGAATGTGTGTGTGCATAGTTGAGGGAGAGTTTTGTGTGGCGAGTGGGTGGGTGCGTCACTGTGTCGGCCTGGACTCTCTGCAGTGCACTCTCCTCCTGGCTGAGTGGAAACATCATGAGTCTGCAAGACTTTCAGAGGAACAGCCCTGTTTCTGCGAACTGAATCTAGAACAACCGAGGCGCACAGAGGAACTGAAGGACGGCGTTTCCTCCTGCCTCAGACCTGGCGATGCCATGCTGGCTCAGAGGAATGGGGTTCCTGCGGGCTGTAAGCCGGTTCGCCTGAAGGATCACCCTGACCTGCAGGATGTAGAGAAGAACTCAGGAGGCTGCTGCTCGTTCTCCACCTCCCCGACGTCCGGCGGCTGTCCCTGGGCTCGGCTGGCCGGCGTGGACGGCTGCCTTTCGGAGCCGTACTGCCTCTGGTTCCAGCTCCTGGCCCGTGCCTACTGGGGAGACGTTGAGTTGGGGGTCTCCAGTCCCAACCGCAGCGTGTCCTGGGCTCGTCTCCGGGAAGCATCCAGGAAGAACTGCGTCCGATCTCGGGTAAGGCAAGGACAGTTTGGTTCCGAGTAGGGAGAGCATCCTCTCGCCCATTTAGGAAAAACGTCCATTCTGAAAATGTGTCTGGCAGAGAGGTATAGGCTTACACGGAGAGAAGAGGTTGGGGATGGTCACTTTGCTGTGCTGCCTGAGGAATTTCATGTGCGTCATCGCGCTCTCCGGCAGCAGGGTAGTCCAGTTTCACTGACCGATATCTTTTGTAACGCCAGTGTGTTTGTATGTGTTTGGATAAGGTTTCGTTTATTGTTGTTGGCTGCTTGCAGGGTTCAGGATGACATTTTCTGTTTGCTGTCAGAAGAAGATCATCTGCTTTTTGCCTCAGCAGCATGTTTCCAAGTCAGGCTAATATTCTCCTCACATTCTAAGCTGTATCTTCTGATTAACTCAAGAATTCACTTTAACAAGAAAAAGGACAAGCTTTCCCTTGTTAATGAGTCATGAATCAGAGAAGCTGTATCCAAAGATAATCTCATTCAAATTTAATCCAACTCCTCATCTTGTATGCATAAAGAAGAGCATGCAAATCCACCCTCCTGCGGGCCTTGGTAACATATGGCAACACAGCACATCAAATACTCCTCCCTGCAATAATAGAAGACCGGACGGATGAACAGATTGCATGCATAATTAAAGAGTTTTTATCAGGTGAATATGCTCATTTGGAGCAGTTTCTAAGTTTACAATCACATCTACTATAGAACTAAATGAGTTCCTCTGCAGTTTTTCTCGCTTTTGTCTTGCAAAGTGATAAATACTCCTTTAATTTTCACCCATTTTCTCAACCAAAACCTTGATTCTGTTTAATTTGCGATTGAGTTTTCTAACGCATAGAATGAATAAATAAATAGTCTTTTGACTTTAAATTGGCTTTAATCCAGCTGTTCTTTGAGGGGATTAAGAGGTTTATTAGAGAACAAAAAAAAAAAAACAGTATGATAAAGGTCAAGAACCACAGTTAAAAAGTTGTGGAAAAGTCAAATCAGGGTGATGAGGACTCATAAATTCATCATCTGGCACAGGAGGTAATATGGCTGCTAACCTAACATAACAAGACAATGGCTGTCCATCTAAGCAGACTTTGATGTGCACGTACCACGAGCGGCGAGGATTTTCCTCGGACGTTTGGGGTTTTACAGTTGAGAGTTTGCATTTCTTACATGTCATTCTTCAACTTCCCGTCACCTATAAGTCAGTTTGATGTAATCAGAACTTTCATCTTTGTCACACTGAGGACGCGGGTGTAGAAATCAGGCTCTACTCATCAGCGCTGAGTCTGCGTTGTGGCACCCTCAAGTATGCGCAGGCATCCATGGAGTCCAATACGCCCGACTCTAGCAGCTTTCAGTGATGCTCTCCACACATCCGGGCTTCACGGAATAGCGGTAAAAGGAAAGCCACGGCTGAAAGAAAGCCAAATGAGGGGATGTTTGCAGTGATGCAGGAAACACGGCAGACGTGGAAGAAGGTGCTCTGGTTGGATTCGAATGGATTTCTTCCCACCAGCAGGGAACTTACCCTAAATGTTCAGACAGAGCTACAGTTAGAAGGTGAAAAAATGATCCTGTCAAAACCTAATTTATAGATGTATTTTCATAGATGCCCTCAATTTGATCTGACTGAGCCAGAAATGTATGGTTTTTATGTGTGGTAAACCAACTCCAAAAACAAAAAAAACCTGCTGCTGTGAAAGTAATAAATGGTGCGTCTCAGGAGCTGATTACAAAGGCATGCCATAACTGTCCCCATTCTACTTTACCTGCTACTTTGTTCTTTTTTATCGCCTAAAAACCCCAACAAAATGAGCAAAAAAGTTCAGGAAGAATAAACACTTTTGCGTGGCCTGAATAATTTAGTTTTCCTCCTTCCCTCTCCTCTCAGTTGTACTCTGGTCTGTGGCTTAGCTCCAGCTCCAGACCTCTGGGTATTGGTAGTGATTTCACCAGTCCAACCATTAAGCCCACACCACCTCTCTCGGGAGGGTTCTTCATCAGCTGCTCCCTGACATGCACAGGAGAGGTGGGGAAAGAAAAGACGGGGGGGGGGGGGGCATCTTTGTGTTGAATCCACACTGTAGATGTGTTTTGGTGGGAGAAGAGCCTGCTGAGTGATCTGGATTAAGACTGAAACTCTTGGCAGAGTCACGATGGAGGTGTTAGTAGTAACCACTAACGCTCGCCCTGCGGTGGAGGAGGTCAACTCTGTCGTTACCTTGACGATGGATGTGACGGGGGGCTGGGACCATCGTTGATGAGGAAATATACAGCCGTATTGATTGAGAGGAACAGAATATTTCCTGCTATGTTTGTAAGGCAAAGGTAAAACTGAAGTAAGATATTTCTGCAATTCCTGTTTTTTTGGGGGGGTCATATTGGACATATCTAGGCTAAATGATTAGAGATGAAGGCCTAATCCCAATGTCCCCCCTTACTGAAAACCACTAACCCATACTCATTACCTCCAGCCCTCATCCACTACCACTACACCCTTGAATTGAAGCCTTAGCAGTTAGATTGTGTAAATTGTGTAAGTCAAACACCCAAGCTGCCTCAGTTCAAACAAGACTCAAAAATGATTTTTATTATTCTGGAAAATAATGGGTCTTTTTTGAACAGCAGTTATAAAGACATGCTTGCTTGTTGTGGCTGCTTTGTCATGGTACATTTTGACATGCTGCTATATCTGTGCTAATTGTGCTTTGGTGCTCGCTATGTCTATAAAATGAACTAGGTGGTTGAACTGTGGAGAATCTAAGCTTTCCAACGATGTCTAACATCATTGGTAGACATTTTACCGGTGTAATTTTCATGCATTCTGAGTTATTATTTGTAAACGCTTTAAAACCGAGGTTAAAAGCAGGGTGCAATTATCAGTTTGCAAATTTGTTTTGATATTAAGACCTGTGTATACCTCAATCATTTATTCACCACTAAATGGTCTCTGTTAGCATTTAATACTAATATTACAGGGTTCTCACCACATATTTTTATAAGCATTGCTACACCTGTATCATCTTTTTTTGTCTCTTTGCTAATTGAGCACCCTTTTTTTTATTTTTCAATGTTTTTACATTCATATTTCCCCTTAATATATCAACTTTTAGATTGACCCAGAAAAGTTGCTCTGATCCACCCTGCAGGAGCAGCAACGCGGCTATATGCTGGTGCAGTAATGGTTAATTAGGTAGAAAAAATAAATAAATAACACCTTAACATCCCTTCACCCTTGCATTCAAAGCTAGCTCTCTGTCTGCTGGTGGGGCGATAGAGCATGTGTTCACCCCACTCAGGGTGGGTTGATGACAGAGCACTTACATTTTCATAGCACTTTTCATACATATGTGTAAATAAAGACGCCAGTGTTTTTAAAAACTTTTTGTGGCTGCTACACTCATTAAAAGTTAGTTTATTGGCCTTATTTCAGTGTAACCAACATTTGTGCTGAAATGCACTGTATAGAGTGCTGGGGGACGCTCATAAAAAATGATGATAGCAGCCCGCTAATCTGAAATAAGCTCGTGAGAACTCTATACTAGATGTGTAGAATTGAATTACATTGCAAAAGAAATACCAAAGAGCTTCAACAAAGCGTCTTCTCAGAAATGCTAATAGAGATTGAACTATGCCCAAGTATTTTAAGGCCCAGGTTTAGTCTAATCCAGGGCTGCCCAAAGTTTACCCTCAAGAGCCGCTGTCCCGCCGGTTTTAGACATTTCCTGCTTCCATTGACAGCTGATTTTGCTTAACTGCAATAATCAGAATCAGCTTGGCTGAAGCAGGGAAAACCTCCATATCCGACAGGACTGCGGCCCTCAGGTGTCGACTACTGGAAGCCCTGCTCTAAACCAATCCTAGATAAGCACTGCTGATATTTTTGGCTGATTGTTTTGCTTTTTTTTTTTTCCATATTCCAATTACATGATAAAAATAATAAAAAAAATGTTACATAAGTTTCAGTTTAATTTACAAAAGAAACATTTCAACAAATCAAAAAAGTAGCTGCAATGGATAGGGAACAGAGGGAGCAGCAATGCATGTCCCAGGATCTCAAGGCATGGCTGTTGAATGCATAATGTTGACTAAGGGAAAAAGATGCTAATATATCATGTGGTAGATGTATCACTGTACCTATAATCACCAGACATATCCATGTATTTTGGATATTTTTGGCTATGAATGTTGGTATAAATGAAGGCTGTAAACATTTTATTCATATAAAAAAAGATATGGATATTATAGAGACTAGTGTTTTACCGTCCCTTTTTGATCCAAAAACTTCTATTCTGTTCTTTTTGTTTTAAATTAGCGCCTTAATAAAACCCTTAAGTATGGCTCTAGGTGTGGTCCTTGAATTTTAAGAAATTGGTTATGAAAAGTCCTTCAAAGGTCATTGAATTTGATGTTAACAATAACAATACAATGTTGATACAAAAAGAAAAAAGATTGGTTGGACAACCTAAAGCAACCCCTTCTGCTTTATGGAGAGATATTTGTGCCATCGGTTTGAGCGCGCAGGAACCAATCCGAGCGCGCAGTGAGACAACACGCGCGCGCGCAAAACCGGTCTGGCGCGCGCTCAACTCTGAAAAACCCTCTCAACACACTGTTCTCGCGCTCAGTTTCATCTCTGCGCGTGCTCGAATCCGTCTCTGCTCGCGCTCGCTCGACCTGCTCTCTCTCTGCGCTCAACACCAGCTGTGCGCTCGGCTGTTTCTCCGCTCGCTCGACTCTCTGCGCTCGCAACTTCAGCAATGTATGTAAATGAACCATACCATCAGCCAATCACACCCAGCTTCTTTTCATCCAATGAAAGCATTCCTTCCTTCTTCTTCTTTTCTATCATGGCGGTTCGCAAGCAACTTCAAGGTGCATACCGCCACCTACTGTTCATGAGTGTGTAGCAACATTGTTTTACATCTATTAAATTCTATTTTTTAATTTTGCATTCTGAAGATAACTAAATAATGCTTTCCTTAATCTATAAAC